AAGGAAAAGAAAGTTCTCTAAAAGATATAACTGCATATATATTTAAGTGTATAAGATAGATAACCATATTACTGAGTTTTGTTGGATCATTGAACAAAACTGTTTGCAGTCTCACTGTTTGAAAGTCCCCACTATATGCTTTAATTTTATAACTTCAACAATTATTTCTAAGATGACAATATGTAATTAACTGGTGATTTCCTACTGTTTACTTTTTCTGAAATTCTGTATAACTTGTACCCTTTTTTTTTTTCTCCTTAAATAAAATTAAAAAAAAAAGAAAATGGTATCCTCAGGGGGCTGCTGATTTAGCTCAGTGGCATAAGAGCCTGCCTAGCAAGCGTGAGATCCTGAGTTCAATCCCCAATACCAAGAAAAAAAAATTGTATCATCAGAATTCTTCTGGGTCAGCAGAAAGAAAACCTGCTCAGCAGCTGTCCTTACACATCACAGTATTTAGAGAATAAAGAACCTAAGATAAAATGTCTTTCAAAATTGTACTTTAGCTGGGCATAGGGGTGCATGCTTGTAATCCCACCACTGCAGAGGCTAAAGCAGGAGGACTACTGCAAGTTCAAGGTCAGCCTGGGCTACTTGGTGAGACCTTGCCTCAAAACAAAACACTCCCTGTTAAACCCAATTATCACTTGAATTGATTATAACAGTTTTATGGACCTACTGACACTAGAACAGCTTCCTCCTGCAGCTAGTCATGTAGTGCAAAAACTGACTTTAAAATATGTACTATTATATCTTTTACACTTGAGTGTGCAATTACTTAGATCTGTGTCCTATAAAAGCATAGTTAAGTAAGAACTAGTTTCCAAATTCTCTTCCAAAAGTATGGTTTTAGAACTACAACATATTTAACACTTCAGAACAACACTTTGAGGGCAGACGCCACCTAACCTTGGGGTCTAACATCAACACACAGCAAGTAATGTCTGATTAGAGGTGGCCTCACTACAAGTAGAGGGCATCTCATTACCCATTAGGTCATCGCACAGTTAAGTGCCTGTGTGTAGAGCAATATTCAGAAACAATGGCGTGCAACACAGACAAGTTCAAATACACTTTTAATCCTACCTGTGAACATTTATTGGGGGTGTAAAGCCATCTTCTGAATTTTTCAATGAGTTTTAGGTAATTGGAATTATGACTTTAGAGGGTTGTATAATCATTTTACAGGCGGAAAGGAATTTTAGTCTAACATGAAAAAAAATATTTCAAGGATTGAATTTGAATTTTGAGGGTTTGTTCTTCTTACTTGCAACTTAATTATTGTACAGTGAAGCTATAGCCATTGCAACTTAATTAATGAATGTTGAACCAAATGTTTCTTTGGTATCTTTAGCATTTGGCTTATAATGGCTGTGTACATATATTTTTAAACCTTCAGTTACAAGTTACTCAGATCACTGCAACAGGAATGTACTTTTGCAAGCTTTTCTTACTATATGATCAGCTGTTGCTTTTTTCTTGAAAGATGGAACAAAGAAGATTAAGAGATAAAAGTAGCAGGCTGGAAACTCACATGACAGCTGGGAGGTGCCAGCTGCTACAGGGAGATCTTGGAAGCTGTGTGTTTTTATAAATATCTTCTAATTAAAGTATCTGATTTCAAAGATATAATGCAGTTCTCACACATAGTAGTCAACAGCTGCATTAACATTTAAAGAAAAGCACAAAGTTTCATGTAATTTAACACAAAACTAGTTACTATATATTTGTTAAAAAATATTTTAAATTGTATTGTAGGGCCAGGGGTTTAGCTCAGCAGCACAAATACCTGCCTGGCAAGTGCAAGGTCACGAGTTCGATTCCCAGTACCAAAAAAAAAAAAAAATCATATTTTAAAGAAATTATTAGGTTTTATTACCTAAAAAATATAGAAAAAGATAGTCATGCCACTTCCATTTAGTTCAAACAACAAGACTCTATCTGTCCAAGCAAATCTGAGGAAAATATATGGTATATCACTATTCTAAAATATTAGCTACATGAAGAGTAAACATGTTAGTTACTACAATCACATTTCATTTTAATTTCAAATGTACTGAAAAACCTAATGAAATTTACAGAAAACTATAATTTTATTAAAATGTAATTTCTAATTATTATATAGAAAGCTATCAGAAACTTTTTTTTTTTTTTTTTTTTGGTCTTTTTGAGGCAGGGTTTCATTATATGGTTCAGGCTGGCCTTGAGCTCACTTTGTATTCCCAGTTTGGCCTCACAGTGATCCTCCTGCCTCAGTGTTCTGAGTGCTGGGACTATAGGCATGCACCACCATGCTTAGCTCATCAGAAACTTTTAAAGTGAACTTCTGACCTTTCATATTTCAAAGATTTTTTAGAATGAAGTCATTAGACTCATTAACTATATGGAGTCTGACAAAGCAGAAACACTTATTAGATTAAACCAGCAAATACCTAAATCATTACTATCAAAATCCTAACATTAAGGTATATTTTGTTTCAACTGCTATAGTTGCATGCATTTAGTTACCTTTAACAAATTAATTATATCTTTACTTTAAAAAGTCCATAAAGGGGCCCAGCACTCTCCTGTAATCCCAGCATTCAGAAGACTGAGCAGGAAGCCTGTCATGAGTTCAAGGCCAGCCTCGGCTATCAGTGAGTTCAAGGCATCTGAACTGCATAGTGAAACCCTGTCTCAAAGACAATAAATAAATAAGTAAATACATACATACAAGCCCAATAAATGACAAATCCAAAAAAAAAAAAAGCCACTTTTTTTGGTACCAGGGCTCAATCTCACAATCTCATGCTTGCTAGGCAGGCACTTGTGCTGCTGAGCTAACTCTCCCTGGCCCAAAATATTTTAATTTTTAAAAATTAATAAGGTACTAACAATTTTATTTTGATGTTTTGCTATTAATTGGCTTAATAAAAATATATAAATAACATGGAGAACATTATTGTTCTTTAAAACAAAATTTTAAAATGCTTCGTTGAAGCTAATACAAACTTTTTTTTTTCTTTTTGAGACAGGGTCTCACTGCCTTGTGCTCACTTTGCAGCCCAGTCTGGTTTTGAACTTGAACCTTGTTGCAAGTTGCAAGCGAACTTGCAACAATTCACTTGCCTTAGCCTCCCAAGATTATAGGAATGTGCCACCACACATGGCTACAAAGCAACTTTTAAGAGTTTGATAAAAGCTGAGAAATGTCACCTAGGTAGTGGTGTAAAACATTAAAATGCTGAGTTAGCAGTGTACTTATTTGCAAGAATCACATCATCTAGTTCCTTACTCCACATAAGGGTATACCTGATAATGTTTAACTGTGATAATCTTTTTCTAACCTCATCAGAATTTTGTATTCAGTGCTCAAGAAAATGATTTCCTGCTGGTTATGGCAGTACATGCCTTTCATCCTTAGCTGCACAGGAGGCTAAGTCAAGCGATTACAAATTTGAGATTAGCCTGGGAAACTTAGTGAAATCCCGTCTCAAAATAAAACTTCAAAAAGGGGTGGGGACGTAGTTCAACAGCACAAGGCTTGTCCAGCACGCATGAGACTGGGTTCAATTGGGGGGAGATAAATAATCTTTACAGCTGACTGTAGTAATGTGCTTATGAAAGCACAAGATAATATTCAGATACACATATGTATATTTATCTACCTCAGTTCCTATGTTCCACCATTAATTTTTATCCATTACTAGCACAATTTGCATTTCTTCAACAGCAGAATGCAATGATTACTTTTTAATTAAGAACACAGAATCTTTCCAGGTATGGTGGCACATGCCACATTCCAGCACTTGGGAGGTTGAGGCAGGAGGAATCACTACAAGTTGGAGATCAGTCTGGACTACAAAGTAAGCTCAAGGTCAGCCTGAACTGCATATGAAACGCTGTCTCAAAAAGACCAAAAGTCAAAACAAAAAACACAGAATCTAATGAACACTATTCAGGTTGAGAGAAAACCATTCAATTAAAAGCACCTTGCCAGGCCCGGTGACCACATGCCTGGAATACCAGTATTTAGAGCCCGAGGCAGGAGGATCACTGTGAGACTGTGAGTTCAAGGCAACCCTGAGCAGCATAGTGAGTCTCTGTCTCAAAAAGACACATAAATACACACACAAGCACCTTGTTAAACTCTAGAAAATATTTTAAGAGTAAGGATATCTTGTATTTATTTTAGAAAAGGCTGAATCTTACAGCCAACTCTTAATTCTATCTTGATTCAATATTCATAGCATTGCCACTGTGCGCTAGGTACAGAGAGATAGTGAGAACAGCCCGAGAGCAAATAAGCAGGTAGAGTACCAAATGCAGCTAAGTAGGGTAGGAACAGCTCTGGAGCGTGATTGGCAAGGCCTTGTAACAGAGGCGCTACAGAGATTTCTCAGTGACCCTGTCAAGCTGAGACCTGATGATGAAGGAAATGATTGTTGGATTTGTGGAGTGTTCAAATCATTTTAATGATCCCACACATTGACACAAGCTCAATCTGGTCAATGGGGAGGTATCAAGAGACTGCCAAAGTTTGTGTTTGAAACAGTCTTCAAATTCATAGTTAACAGCATTTGGAAATGGGGCCTTTGAGGAGCAATAAGGATCAGATGAGGTTTTTTTGAAATCTAGCATCACATAGTCTTAGCCAGGTCTAAAATATTAAAATAGTAATAATCATCATCTGGTTTAAATGAAAAAAGAAAGAAAAGAACAAACAAAAAACCTCCACCAATACTAAATTCAGAGATTAATAACTCTAAATATTAATGGAAGGCTGGGGATTTAGCTCAGTGGCATAAGCGCTTGCCTCACAAGTGGGAGGTCTTGAGTTTGACCCCTGGCACCAATATAAATAAATAAATAAATACATAAATGTTAAAGGAATAATATATAACAAATTTTGCTAAGAAAAATTCACTAGCAGCTGTGGTGTTATCCTTGTATGGAATTACTAGTAAAAAGCTTTTGTTTTACAACTATTTAGTCTGTAAAGAAAAATACCATGGTATATATTATTATATTTGTAGTTGTACTTAATTTTTATTGAGCATTGATTTTAGAAGATACTGATAAATCAATAATTTGATCCAGAGAAAATTATGACTATAGTATTTCAAATATTGTTAGGTACAGCATTGAAAAATGTATTCAGAATAGTAAATATATAATATGTACTTACTTTTATTGTTATAGTTGGTTCTATTACTCATAAAGTTATATTACAAATTAGAAATTTACAGTGTTTAGGAGTGAGTTTTTCTTTACTCTTGTTACAGAATTATAAATGAAGAGGAACAGTGTATTGCAATATGTATGGACAATTTTCAAGGTTAGAAATTAAAGGAGAAAAAAAAAGAAATTAAAGGAGAAAGAAAATAGGAATAAATAATTACCAATATGCAACATTATTTCTGAGGTAATCAGAAAATAAAAATCAAAGATAAGAAGCAAGTATATCCAAAAGATTGCTCCAAGTGGTAACTGTGGTTTTTTTTTTTAAACCAACAAAAGCAACTGACATAATTTCCCTCTTAAACAGGAAGTGGAAATAAAATGAATTATTGCAGACTTGCTTTTTCAGACTCCTTGACTAATTGAACTAAGCTCTTAAATGGTTTCCTTTATCAGCATTCAATAGCTAATAATCATCACTCCAATTAATTACTCATTGCTTATAAAAACATTGAAAAATACAGAAATGATCTAAGTGAGAAAATAACTGTTTCAAAGGTCGAAAATATAGCATTAAACTCACATAAATAACATGTACCAAGTATGCTTTAGAGGCACTGGGATATAATTCCCTGAAACCATTAGTTTAGCTCTGATATTTTTGACTCCCCAAAGTGAACACGGATACTTATATCCAAATCCTCGTATCTCAGGATTCATGTAAATAATTAGTGCCAATTATCTTTGAGATTATTGTGAAAAATTTAAGTCACCTAATTCTTGCTTCCCAACTCTTAACCATTATTCTGCTCATAATCATTATACAAAATCCACTTGTTACTCCTAGTAAATGCAAATTATCTGATTATAACCCTGTTATTACCTCAATAAACTCTGTCCATATAGCTGCAAAGTTAGCAAAGTCAAGTATAGAAAACTTAAGATAAAAAAGCTAAAAAGGCTACCTTCAACAGTTCCTCTGTTCTATATACTGCTTACTATTATGAAAGAAATGAACTACAAATAGCAATTGTCCCAAACTAGGTCAATACAAAAAAAAAAAAAAAAAAAGTCTGAACATTTTGTAAACACTTGCTTTGGCTTTTTCTTTTAGATATCAAGAATGCTCTAATTAAAATGCAGTAGCATAAGCACTTAATAGCAACAGAAATATTTACCAATGCTTATTTACTTAATAACTTTTTTCCAGGAATCTTAAAATCACCTATGCTCATCACAATTCTGTAACTGAGAGAGGTAGGTACTACAGAAAACTGCAAAGACCAAGAAAAAAAATTTGGAGTGAGTAATCTTTGTGAATAACCTTCTGAATAATCTTTGTGAGCTAAAGACTACTTCCTTAGATAGCTGAATATATAAAATGGAGTATTATTTTACTTGCCTTCAACAAACTTAAATTTAGGCAAAAAAAAAAAAAACCCTTAGTGTTAAAAGGACAATATTTTTTTCTTATTTTATTTCATTTGTAATTGTATTTTTTAATTATGTTTATTGAAATTTGATTTTTATAGATACTATTTAGCCAGTGATATGACCCAGTATTAATACTGTGAAACTAAAAATTATACAGTATCTCAGGTTTATTTTGTATATATATTCTTAAATATCAAAAGACTATGTAACTATACAACCATTTTGCTTATCTTTCCATTTGAGGATAATGGTTTATGATAAACCATACACACCATGGATACCTGGGGCAGGCGCTATCTGTAGTCATGAAACCACTTTGTGCATGCAGAGTTAGTGAACTTCTAGGCACCCTACTGCTGTCCTCAGTGTTATTAGCACCATACTCCAACCAAGCGAACTCATGGAAAATGTTAAATAAGGTGCTAATTAAAAGAATAGGAACAACAAAAGGCTGTATTTCATCATCCTAAGATTTCACAGAGTTGGCGTGGGTTTATGTTTCAAATTCCCATATATTGAGAAATGATTTCTTAAATACCTCACCTCTTGAATTACTAGTGTAGCAATCCAAAATACTCTAAAGACTTAATAACTGATTACTATAATTGATTCTGTGAGGAATATATAGCTATAGCTATGCGAAAATAGAATTGAGTTAAAGATAATATTTTTACAGGAAGAAAGATGCTGGAGATCCATATCAGTAGTTACTAACCACATAAATACTAAAGATTTGTATTCTTTAGGAATACTGTGTGGGAATTTCATTTTATCTTCCCTTAGATGCCTGTCACAAGTTTATTAAAAATAAGATGATGCATGAACTACCAGTAATGGTATTAAATTCCAATCACTTTCAAGACAGGCAAGATTTAGAGCTATTAATTAAGACTTTACAGAATTGGGATCACTGATATTACAAATAGTATTTTTAAAAAGACACATTACAATGGCATTTTTAAAAAAGACATCAAAATAATCATACATTGTCAGCTGGCATTTCATACTAACCACTGGAGGAGGTAGCAATGCTTAGTGTTAGAATTTAAAATACAAGGTCAGCATTAGCTGTAAACAATTCTAAAGCACTGTAACTCTTTAAAAACATATGCAGTGAAAAAGGATTAGAATTCATATAAAAATCAGAAGTAAAAAAGCAAAAAATAGAAATATTTAGTGAATTTACTCAAAGTTTAAATGACACAGAAATGAAAAATCTTAAGAGCTATACACAGTAAAAAGTGAATATAAATTACCCAACTCCATGGATATTTCCAGTTAAACATTCATACAAATACATATTCACCTTTTTCTTTATACAGCAATATCACATACATACATTACATGAAAATTCTGGCAAAAAAAAATCAGAGATATTAACAATATTCTCACATATCAAAAATGGTGTGGAATATGTTTTAACAAAAACATTCCACATGAATGTAAACCCCTGATTTAATTCCACAACTGTATCATGCCAGAAACATTGTTGGTTTTAACTTTTTAAAAGCAAGATGATACTGGTATCATAACACATTGGCTTATTAATAATTAAGGCATTTTTTTATACACAGTATCTTAGTGTGCACAAAAATTTTAATATCGATTATTTACTATGATATTTTAAACTTTGAAAGTCTCTTCAACATAGGAAAATAGCTGCACACATTTAGGTGTTTTTCTTTCTTTCTTTCTTTTTTTTTTATAAAACACACACACACACAATCCATGATTGGTCTCTGTGGTTCCCAGCAGTAAGTCCTGTCTTATTTTTTCACATAGTATAAATTATATTTTAATGTAGGATTGCATTAAGATCCAGTAGTTCTTAAACAATGTTACTAAATAACCATAAGCCCCGCAGTGAATGATCTTCATAGTGCACTTTCACCTCATTGAAGTTGAAGCTGCTCCTTCTGGATATTTTCCACTTCAATGTGAAGTAGATTGTTAGGGTTTTATTAGTGGTTTCATTTTGTGGATTTTTAAAAGAAAAGGGTGGCTTTGATTTCTTCCACAGTTCAGAGCTGGAAATCATACAGTCCACGTATGTTTTTAAATAACCAAATGTTCTTCAGTAGAGGAAATCTCTCAATGCAACTGCAATAAATAAGCATCTACATCCTTAGAATATAAAGCAAAAAAAAAATTTCATTAGCCAATATGATAAATATACACACACACAATCCATTTTATTTTGCATTTTTTGTTGCTTGATTTGCCTTAGATTCCCTTTGTCACCTTAAGGTAGAAGACAAGCAACCTCTTTTAATCTTACTCAACCTCTTTTAATCTGCTTTTGTTTAGCACAGGGCCTGATACCTTACACATACTTAAAAATGTAAGCTAAATGAGTGAATATTTTGGTTTCTGTGCTCAAATGATTCTGATCTCCTTAGAATACACAGCAGTCTTACCAATGCTATATAAATTCAAGGCTAACTTAATGAAAGACTCTTTCCAGTTTCTACTCTCAAACACTAACATTTAACTGAGGGTTTAATTTTATAACAGGTTTTATTATAGGCTTAGGAAACTTCACACTGAACTTTTAATCACTCAACAGTCTTCAATAATAAAGTCCTATTTGCAATAAAGCTTCTCTTTTATAAAAATTTAAAACATTTCTTTTTTTCATGAAAACGTATTTCCAAGAAAACAATTACTTCTCAGTTTATATTCAGAACGAGACCTCTCCCTCTAATGCTAATATTTTATGCATACTTAAAACACTGAAACAGGGCAAGCCACTCAGAATCCCTTCTGTCTCTGTTGCTTTCTCTCTCTGACAGAAGCTTTCTTTCTCTCAATAAATATTCTGCTCTTAACTTCTGATGTTTCTAAAATTCATTCTTTGATTTTACTGAACACAAACTCATACTGGACATCTAGTAGGTTGGGAGTTTCTTTCGCTATATCGTTTGGAGGTCTTCCACTGAGATCACGGAATGCAGTCTTAAAGATGCAAACGCCTAGTGTCTATCAAGGGTTTTTAGACAGACCCTCTATAGAGTAACTGACTGCTGATCAGAAACCATGACCCCTTTTAGCCTAAAAAGACTGATCGGTCATTGCCCATTATACCTCACAGCAGTTCAGGGTACCTCTTCAGAATGGAGGGGATGCTATAGGCAGCTAAATTAGATAGAATTTTACAGGCAGTCAGATAGGGCCAGGCGTTCAAAGAAGCCAGTGCAGAAACTAGATGCTTTGCAACCACGTGGAAAGATACCTCCCGCTGTGGGCCAGACCTCAAGACAAAAGGAAAAACAAATGCACCCCTGCCCTAAGTATAAACATCAGGGATTGATATGCTAAATAGTTATCAGATTCCCCAGTGGAAGTCAGAAAAAGCCACTAACCACCCCCTCAAAGACCCAGTTCTGTATTCATGACTCACTTTCTGATTTGATCTCGATTTAATCAATTGAACCTGAGCAATTACACTTGTAATCTTACTGGTTGACCATAGTTCTGTCCCACCTCATGCCCACCTTGCAAGTTCCCATTTTTTCCCACTATGTACCTGCCTTGCCTTGCGGTTCTGCTGTATAAAAATCCCTAGAAGAGGCAGAGTCCTCAGCAACCCACTCAGTACCCCTTCCGTCTCTCAGACAGAAGTTTTCTCAATAAATATTCTGCTCTTTTAAAAAAAAAATGAAACAAAAACTTCCAGTAAATTCATGTTTATGAGACTTCATTAAGAATTCTATAGAATAAAATCACAGAGTGATAACATCTTGCTTGATGGCATTTTCTTTTTTGGAAGGTAACTAATAAAAATTTTGTAAATCCGTAATATAAATCCCATTTGTCAAAATATTTTTTCTTAAACCAAAGAACATTTTCCTATTCTTGGCTAATGACTAATGTTCACTTAAGCTAACATTTAAGCCCAGTAATGCAATGGAAATATTTTTTTATTAATTTTTTGAAACAGGGTTTCATTATGTGGTTCAGGCTGGCCTTGAACTCACTATGTACCGTGGACATCCTTGAACTTGTGGTGAACCTCCTCCCTCCCAGTGCTTGGATTACAGGCGTGTACACATCTGGCTTTTTGGAGGAAAGGTTTGTTTTTTAATTTGTTGGCACTGGGAACTGAACCTAGAGCCTTGGACTTGCTAGCAGGTGCTATACCACTGAACTGCATCCCCAGATTGAAAATACTTCTTAATTTTTTTTTTGTCTTTTGAGACAGGGTCTTGCTGTGTGGTCTAGGACACCCCTCAACTCTCAGTGATCTTCCCTCATCAGTCTCCCAAGTGCTGGAATTACAGGCATGCAACACTACAAGGCAACAGTTAATTTTTTCTGCAATTGTAACTACGAATTGTAACTACAAATGTTGTCTGGATTACAATCCAAACCAGCATTGTACCTTTTAAGAGACAAACCAATCAAGGGCAACATTAAATTTATTCTGTGATTCAAATAATTCTTTTTCAAGAAGCTTAATATTAGCAAAATCAAAGTAAACATTAATATTCCAAAACCATTTGATTGTATTCATTTCTTGATTCCTGAGTGTCACTGCCTTTTCTGATGCTGTCAGAAAGGATGTTGAAAGGATTTTGCCCTGGATGGGAAGCTGCAGCAGTGGGAGGCTGGGAGGCAGAACCAAGAGGCTCTATCTTGAGGTCATCTTCCCCGCCCCTAAGCAATTTACCTGTGGCACGAAATGAATTCCAATGGGCTACCTGTGCATCAGTAATGCCCCTTAGGCTCCACCCCAAACCTAAACTATATGTATGCCCCCACACGATGAGTCGGGCAGAGAGAATGCCAGACCCCGGAGGTCATGGGGTCTCTCTCAGCATTCTTAAAATAAAGGCCACTTTTATTTCATATTTCTTATCTTTTTAGCCACGCCGAAAATTCTATCAGTCGTCATCTGTACTTTTATTTCAAATATTTTTCTCTGACTGGAACTAGGTCATTACTCTCATCACATTTCTGTAACTGTATGCGAAACGCATTCAACAACTAATCCCTGTTTCCTGCGTAGATCACATCCATATTCACAACCAGGAGACTAAGCAGTCTCAAAAATGAAACTGCCTTTAGCCTTTGTCTTGTACTGGGGCACTGAACCCTTTTTTTGAGGAAAGGTCTCGCTAAGTGGTGCAGGCTGGGCTTGAACCTGAGATCCTCCTGCTTCAACTTCCCAAAGTGCTGGTATTACAGGTGTGTGCTACCACGCCTGCCTGCTTTTAGAACTTATTAGAATACTATTAGTTTGCCTAGAGATATGAAACATTTATTTATAAATATACATTATTATATCTAATTTTCAATGCGTAACTTTCAAGCTTAAATATAGATTACCTTAGCTATGTTACCAGTATATCCTGGAACCAAAGTAAGATGGTTTGCCTGCTCCCATAATCTACTTAATTGTTGTTTTAAAATCTGGATATTTCTAGGGAAAAAAAAAGACAAAAAATGAGAAAACAAATAGTAGAATATGGACTTTGGTAATAAATACACTTAATGAAAACAGTTTTAAATTTTCCCAAGTTTTATCAGAAGAGAACCACATACTATTTAAAGTCTAGCAAGTGTTTAAAAGGGTACATATCAATCACAGAAACTCAAGGTTATTCAGTGGCCAAAGCAGATAAGAAAGCTAGGCATTTTCACAACCTCTTCTTAGCTATGAAGTGGAAAATTCTGAGAGCTAAGAAAAAATTACAGACTTTAAAGACATTCTTGAGAGATACTTTCTTTGTGACTTCATGAAAATATGGCTCATGTGATAAAATAAGCATTTCAAACCTACTCAGTATAGTTTTTACAATTATGATAGCACTGGCCCTCAGATTAACATCCAGATAGCCAAAGGGTGCTGCAGGATGCCTTCGTTTCTTATTTCACAAAGAGCATTTCTTTTTTTTTTTTTTTTTTTTTGTCTTTTTCGTTTTTATTGGTACCAGAGATCGAACTCATAACTGCCTGCTTACAAGGCAGGCACTTATGCAGCTGAGCTAAATCCCCAGCCCCCACAAAGAGCATTTCTTTCCTTCTCCCTTATTCATACAATAGACATAGAAGTAACTACTATGTGATCTTTTATTAAAATGAAGGGTATTGCTCTACAAGAAGACGACTTACAAGGGGGTACTAGGCTCTTAAATTCAACTTCTATATGATTTTCACAAATGAACAGTATCAAAACAATATTTCTCAGAAAATGAACATCCTAAATATTACACATTGATGATCATAGAATAAAATTATCCCTTTTAGCTGCTTTTCTAAAGAAATTTCAGTATGAATTTACCTTAGAAGGTATACTTACGTATCATTTATAATTTCTGTTTTGGATGAGAGCTCTGACCACCACCTTTTTATTACTGCTTGAAGCCAATTTAAACCAACTATTACATATCTGAAATGACATTTTGTTACAAAGTGCAAGTGTCATCCTCTAAGAAGCCTTTTACAAAACTGATCCTCCCCACCAAAAAAAAAAAAATTCCCACATTATGGTAACCATTTTTTATTAGCTTGATTGGAAGCCCTGTACTGCTTTCATTGTTTTGTTTTGACTGATTTTATTTTGTTTGATTGTATCATATCTGATGATACAGGCAGATACTCTGAAGACAGTAAGATGCATTATGATACCCAATGTAATTTTACTATTACGTTTTTTTGAAGTCCTATACTGTTTCCCTTGTTGTGTTTTTATTGGTTTTATTTTGTACTATGTTGTTTGATTTTATTATGCTTGATGGTATATGCAATTCTTTTGAAGATAACAAGAGGCATTATGGTAGCCATTGCTGATCTTGTGTTCTGTTTTTAAGTCATGTACCATGTTCATCCTTTTGTTTGGATTGACCCTATTCTTTTTTTTCATTGGTCATTCTTTTAAAAACAAAATAAAACAAAAAAACCTCCCACATACATACATACATACATACATACATAGATTTTTCTCTGAAATACATTTACTAGTTTCATGAGTTATTTCACAAACTGTACTTTATGTACTTGCTTATAAATATTTTTGTAATTATTCTTTAGTAATTTCATCTTCTTTTCCTAATCATACAATAGGCCCATTAAATGTGTATCTCATGGAGCCCGATCTAGTATATATGTATGTACAAAGCACAAAATCAAAATTCTGAAGGAGAAAAATGAGTTGAAATTTAAATTAGAACTTACTCTTCAAATTTGCTTTTAAGTAACGACTTTACTAGAGGCAATAAATCTACACAGCAGCCAAGTGAGATATACTGTTTTTCTTCCTGTAAACTAAAAGAAACATTAAGTTATAAAAATATAAACAGACACAATTTGTTTTAATTTAAACTTTCTTTTTTTGTGAGCAATATTGTCTTTACCTATTGGTGAGCACAGGAAGGCAATCTACCACAACTCCAAGGTCTTCTATTCTGTGGGTACAAGAAAAATCATATACCTTAGACTGCTGGTTCATTACCTGCCTGTCTTTCTGTCCCTCCTTTCCTTTTCCTTCTTGTTTCCTCCCTCTTCTCAGGACTAGGGATTGAGCCAAGGGCTTCTGCATTGAGTCCTTGCTTTTTTTTTTTTTTTGGTACTGGGATCAAATTCATGGCCTCACATCTGCCAGGTAGGTACTTGTGCTACTGAGCTGTATCCCCAGCCTTGAGCCCTTGTTTTTGAGAAATTCGTTATTTACTAAGTTATTTCAGTGACTATGATAAATCAGGTGCTGCGAATACAGTAAAGAACAAGACTTGCATTCTACTGTGAGTACAGGAGGTGGAGGTAGTTAGGAAACAGACAATAAACAAGTTAGATATACAGAGTAGGCTGAAAATGATAAATACTATACAGAACACAACAAAGGAAGATAAGGACTGAAGAATTATGGAGCACTGTTTTAAGTAATGTAAACAAGGAAGGGCTCACTAAGGTAGGGGGGAGAGACTCAAATATAACGAGGAAAGCAATGCTTTAAAGTTTCCATGCAAAAGGGGGATTTTTATTTTAAAAGGTTAAATTTTCCCTCATGACATCATTTATTTTTTATTTTTTTATTTTCTGAAGCAGTACAGGACTTCTAAACAAATAATAGTAAAACCACAGTGGGTACCCATAATGCATCTTGTTATCTTCAAAGTAGCTGCCTATACCATCAAACACGATACAATCAAACAAAACAAAATAGAATCAAATCAGTCAAAACAAAACAATGAGAGAAATATGGAGCTTCAAAACAAGCTAATAGTTATAGAAAAGAAAAATAATCAGAAAAAGTAACAGCTTTGCTCAATCTGATAAACAGATGGTTCCTGCATGCTGGTTACTTTTACATTGGTGAGGAATGTAATTTAAACCACACTGTTGTCTCTATGGAAGCTAAACAAAGGAAGTTAAATTTTTAGCCACTAAAAACATAGAAGAAGCACTTTTACTATCACATTGAAAATTACTTTATTGAATAGAGTACATAAAAGGCCCACTCTTACCTCACCAAATAAGCTACAAGTTCACTTATACTTCTCTTTCTCCAGAAAGTTAAAGCTACATTCAATCTCAAATTCCTGCTGAACAAAACTTGGGCCATTGTTTCATGGTCCTGAGAAACCTGAAAGGCAATAAACTAATCTGATAAAAAGCACAATGCAACATGATATGAAATTATTCTTTTCAATGAAAATAATTTGACATAGTTTTAAATTATGCAAAGGTAATTTCTTATATTGGCTTTCAAAAGAAGCTTTGCAGCTGAACATAATCAACAAATGATTGAATAAATTTATGACTTTTTTTCTTTCCTGCTACAATTTTTAAAAATCCCAATAATTATTTTTAGCTGACCCACACACCTAGCATTAAATCTGTAAATATGGATAAAAGGAAAAGATAAACATACAGGCTAATCATTACCAATTGAATCGCATGAGAAATGTATCACAAAACTCATCTCTGTGACAAGTGTTATTGTGTTATTTACGTGTATCTTTTTTATATAAAATAATATACTTCAGTTGTATGAAAGTTAAAACAAAGTTTTATGGTATCTCAGTACTCACTGAATATGGTATCTCAGTATTCACTGTTAATTGGTTCTAGGAGGCACAAATATAAAAATGATGAGTACCAATCAAATTACTTTGGCTAGAAAGGGGAGTAAGCCAGGAGAAAATCATCACTGACAAATTCTACTTTTTGAGTTAAGTACCAAAAAAATGACAAGCACAAGCATAAAAAAGCATAAAAGCACAAAAAAATGACAAGCACAAGCATTTTCAAGTCAAAATGCACTGAATATCAAATCTGAAGAATTTCAAAGCATTTGAGCACCAAGGTGTGACTATATAAAAAGGGAACATACTCTACTGGCCCTCAAAAATATTCAATATCTCTCTCTAGATGTAATTAAGTTAACAGACTTGTATTTTTCTTTCCAAACCATTTTCTAGGGCAGGGGTTTAGTTCAGCAGCTCAAGTGCCTGCCTGGTAAGCATGGGGTTGTGAGTTTGATCCCTCAGTATCACATTAAGAAAAAAAAATCTAGAAAAACAAGTATATACTAATACTCAGAAAAATTTAAAATTTTCCACACATTAAAAAAAAAACAAAAAACTGCTTTTTTACCTAGGTCATATAAACAATTTTCAAAGTCAAAACAGATCAACCTCATTTTAAAAAAACCAAAGCATAAACGCTAGTCTTTATAAACCTTGTTTGGATTGATTCTGGTCATTATTAATACTGTGTGTCAGTAAACATCCTGATGTATGTATATAAACATATGCATTTGTACAAATACTTTTGTTAAGATCAGTTTTAGAGCAGCTAGTGGGTTTTCCTGGAAAATGCCTTCAGGGATCCTCATTGTAGGTGAGATTTCTCCCTTTCCAAAACTTCATTTAAATCTCTAACGGCGGAACTGTCATTGTTGGTGTTTATAGCAGCCTGTAAAGCATTTCATTTCGTCTTAAGATATTGCTAACTTAAGAGAAAGGAGATAAAGTACTGGCTCAAATTTGCTTCTGTTTCAAGAAGTTATTATCATTCAAGTAAGTGTATTCAATGGGTGATGATTCAGGTACACTAAGGCAAAGAAAAGAGTAATAGCATAACAGAAATAAATAAGCTAAAAATGACTTAAAATAACTTACCTCAGAGAAAAAACCACTATATTTTGATGACGGGCTTTCTGTCTGTGAAGAACTAGAGTCACTAGAGTTAACCACATATGTTCGACTATCATGGTGTAATTTTTCAGGGAGGTGGCCTGCACAAGCCAGTTCATTTTCTTTATTTGCCATGTCACAGCCCCCACTTCTAGGGGACTCTTTTTTTCTGTAACAAGGATTTGGAAAGGGATGATGAACTTTCTTTCTGCGATTGATCACTTTGTGTAGTATACCTGGGCTTTTCACAGCTTGTCCAACTGTTCTGTAAAAAGAATTTATTTTCTTAAGTGAAAAAAAAAGAGAAAACATTTGTTTTTAAACAGATTTAACAAGCCACATTTTGTGATTGTAATCTACTGAAATTAGAAGTAGAATAATAAATGTTAACTCTTGAGATGCAAATTAAAATATCGCTGAGATTCCATCTCACTCTACAAAGTGGTCATCATCAAGAAATCGACCAATAATAAATGCTGGTGGAGCCAGGGTTTAGCTCAGCGGCACAAACACCTGCCTGGGAAGCGCTAGGTTGTGAGTTTGATCCCCGGTACCAAAAAAAAAAAAAAGTAAAAACAAAAACAAATGCTGGTGGGGATGAGGGGGGTATAGTGGGAAGAATCCATACCATGCTTGTTAGTGAGAGTGTACCCTGGTGCAACCACTGTGGAAATTAAATGTGAAGATTCTTCAAAAACCAAAACTAGAGGTTCCATTTCACCCAGCTATTCCTTCTTGGTATCTTCCCAAAACAATTAAAAGTATCCTGCCACAGTGATATATACACACCTGTGTTTATGGTAATACAGTTTATAATAGCTAAATCTTGGAAACAACCCAAATGTCTATCAGCAATAAACAGATAAAGAAGATGTGTTTTTTAATATAATGGAGTACTACTCAGTCATAAAGAAGGAGAAACTTGAGACATTTCTGGGTAAATGGATGCACCTTGAGACAATATTCTTAAGTAAATTGGACACACATGTAAATACCATAGGGCCAGGGATTTAGCTCAGCACCTCAAGCACTTGCCTGCTAAGTGTGAGGTCGTGAATTTGAATCCTAATACCTTCCCCGCCAAAAAAGGCTACCATGAAAATAAGAAAATTAAAATTCTGAGGCTTTTTTAAAAAAACAAAGTAACAAACTGCAAGCTTGACTATTTTAAGGTTTATTATGATTATGCTGAAGTATTTTTAATTTTAAGTGGGAGAGAACAAAACAAATCTCATAGAATATAGAGATTTTCAAATGTTTTGGTGTTAGGATGCTTTCTTTACATTCTTCAAAATTTTGAGAACTCAGAATTTTTTATGGGTAATATTTATTGATATTTCTGTATCAGAAACTAAAGCAGTGGAAATTTTAAAATGCTGGTTAATTAATTTTAAAAATAATAGATTCATAAAATGTCATAATATGGACCTGAAATGTCCTAAGAAGGCCATGCATAAGAGGCTGGCTAACTGTCAGTCAGTCAGTGGCACTATTCTGGGTAGTGGGGCCAGCTGAGGGAAATTAAAACAGCTCCCGTCTCTAGCTCCACCTTCTTTTCTCTCTTCACAGCAGCCATGAGCTCACCAGTTCCCTTCTTCTGATGCTCTCTACCATGATGCAGTGCCTCATCACAGGCCCACGGGCCCAAAAGCAAGAGGCCAGGGAGAATGAACTGAAATCTCTCAAACCATGAAAATGTTTTGTTTTTCCTGTTGTTTTTCTTATATATTCTGTCACAGTGATGAAAGTACACTAACATACATACTAACACATCATTTTCTACCACCTAAAAAGCATTTTCCTTAACAATAAAAAATTTTTAATTTAATCTTAATTTTTGTAAATCCTAATACTTGGTTTAACAGAAGACATGTGGTTTCTCCTTTCTGCTTCTGAATTTGTCTCTTATGATACCAAATGTCATATTATTTCTGGAAAACTACTGTACAACACTTGCAGGAGAGAAGAAAGTCTTACCTGTTTATGTAAGCAGCCAACTGTTTTGGAGATCTCTTAACCTAAATAATGAAAGTAAACAGTTGTAGTATTAAGTTCATTAAAGAGTTATGGAAACTTTATGATTGATGTCCATAAATTTAAAACCTAACAAGTACGTTTTCAAATGACACTTTCTCTACCCTACTGGTATGATCTAGGCACTAGGCACATTATATGTAGGCATGTTTGGCAAAGCAACATATCCATCTCCTTATTCTTCACACCATTAGTCACATATACAGGGTTTTTAATAAGTGAGCCTAAGCATTAATGTGGTTTAAGAGAAATCATATCAGTGCTAATGAACCTTGCAATGGTGATTAAAAAAACACCTCTGAGCTTCATTTTAAACCACTCAAATTACAGCACGTCAGAACAGTATACTTGCCAAAATTGCTTTAGAGCTTCAACTGTATAATGATTACACTTCATTAATTATATTTAATTTTAAAGGATTAAGCAAAACAAAACAAAAGTTTCAATGATCTCATCTATCTCCTAGGAACCATAAACTTACCTCCTTCATGTTCTTATTAGTGAAATTAGAAATCCTTTTTCTGGGAAGATCAATGGAATGATCCTCAATATTATTACAAAAGTTCCGTTTTTTAACATTGTGGTTTTCAGATGCCATAATCTCTTAACTACCTAAAAAAAGAGTAAGTGGAAAATACAAAAATGTTACTTCTTTTTTTTTTTTTTACCGGTACCAGGGATCGAACTCACGATCGCCTGTTCACAAGGCAGGTGCTTATGCCGCTAAGCTACATCCCCAGCCCCCCAAAATGTTATTTCTTTAACGCATACATAAACACGTATCAAAAGCTCCACTCTGTATAAAAGAGACTCATCAGTGACCTGGCCAAGAGCCCCAATTGTCATTGTTAAGGGTACAGTGAGAGGATAAAATGAAAAAGCAGAGACAAATTTAGTAATACATGACATGTGACTGGAAAGTTGACGTCTCCAGATGGGCCAAGAGAGTCTTGGAATGTTAACTCCAAGACAGCCACTATTTATTGGGTATCTACACAGTGATAGACGAGTGTAGCAAAAGATTTGAAGTTGGTGAAATCAGTGACTCAATGGGAAGAATAATCCTGGGATGACAAGAGGCAGAGTCGATCTTATGGTAAGAAGGATCTTGCCTTGGCGTGTTTTTTAAAAATCTTAATGGTCTTAGTTTTAGTCTAAGTAGGTGGGAGAGGATGGCTCATCTCTCAAGAATCAATGGGAAATCTCAAATGGGTGATACCAATAATCTCAAACCTCCATTTTATCCCTTAGGGAAGTATGGAAAATTAGTTATAGTGAATTTGTGGTCCCCAACAGAGACTTACAAGTAAAACAGACAATACAGTTGTATTTTACACATCATAAAAACTGTTAAGCATGAGGCAGAGTACCATAGGAAATTATGTTCTTGTTCTTTGATCACAACAGTTACAATATTATTGTATGTTTTTGCCAAAGTTGATATATTATATCCCATGTTTTCCACATTATCAGCCATTTTAATAAAATCAGAAACCAGGTCCAGAGTAGTACACAAGCCTAAAAGTTTTGGAACATGCTTCAGCTAAAGAAAAAAAAAAAGCAAAAGCAGACTATATACATCCTTTTTTTTTTTTTTCCTTTTGGAAACAGGGTCTCTCTATGTAATTCAGGCTGGCCTTGAGCTCACCTTGTAGCCCAGGCTGGTCTTGAACTCCCAACAATCAAGTGCTGGGATTATAGGCGTGAGCCACCACCCTCAACCAGACTATATACATCTGACTAACCTTAAACCTGATCTTTAAATTTTTCTTTTGTTTTTATAGCTAGCTGTACAAAGCTGTCCTCTTCTTTTGGGGGGCAGAGAATCTATTCTCTCCCTTTCCTTAGTAATATCCAAAGGCAGAAATACTGGTAGAAATAGATGCTGTGACATTCTATTATACACAGAGGAAATCGGTCACTTCTCACCTTGTACTCTGGTTTCACAGAGCTAAGTTATTTTAGGTGATGGAGTCCTCCCGCATTCTTTCCTTATACATTAAAAAGTATCTGCTAAGCCAGGTGTGGTGGGACATGCCTATAATCCCAGCACTCAGGAGGCTGAGGCAGGAGGATCACTGCAAGTTTCAGACCAGCCTCGACTACAAAATGAACTCAAGGCCAGCCTGAACTGCACAGTGACACCCTGTCTCAAAAAGATAAGTAAATTAATTAATTAATTAAAGTACCTGTTATATATGAGGCCCTGGAGTTAATGTAGATGATATTCAGAGATCCTATTCTAAAGAACCATTTAGGAAGTTTGAAAATGCATTTTAATGAGACCCAAGTTTAGAAACTACTCAGTAGATCTGTGAGTTAGAACTCAAAGCAACTGCATTTTTAAAAAAATCTTTACTGGTATTTCTGATGCATATTCCACATTCCCCAAAAATACACATATGTAAAACTATGCAAATAATTTTAGAGAATTTTAAGATTCCTGCAGTTAACTCATGGGCAGCCCTTCCACCTCCCAGGTTAAAAGTCCTGTAGGACAAGTTCTTAAAGGTAAACAGATAATTTCAATAACACCATAAGCACCCTGACCAAGAGACACCCAAACAACCAACAAGGCTTAACGGAGTCTTAAAGAACAAACTGTATGTGCAGCAGCAGCAACACAGTTTGGAAATCTCTTAGGTAGATACACGTGGCTGGAGTTTAGGCTACAAGCCAGCTGCAGTAGAGTAAGAAATGAGGCTGGAGAATAGGCAGAAGGTAGATCATAAAGGGTCTTGTCCACAACGCCACATGTAAGCACTGAAGGAAAAAAACAGTTTTCACCTAAAGATGACGGGCTGAACATGCACAGTTACTACTATCCTTCCCTCAAAGTCCATTAAAATGATAGTAAAGGGTTCCTAGAGGCATAAAATCCATTCAGATAAAGAGGAGATGATAGTAACATTTTAGAAATTGCAAAGCAAAAGTAGTAACCGACTTAATGGATCTGAGAAACTCAAGCCCTAAAACAGTAATGAGGAAAGATAAACAGAATCCTCAAAAGGCATAGGAACACTTCTTTAGTAATACTAAAGAAGCAAAGAAAAAAATGATCTTAAAAAACAAGTTACTGGGGCTGGGGATTTAGCTCAGTGGCATAAGGGCCTGCCTTGCAAGCAGACAGTCGTGAGTTTGATCCCCGGTACCGATAAAAAGGAAAAAGACAACAACAACAACAAAAAAAAGTTACTGACTACCCATTTAAAATACAGTTAAGATCTCCTTTTCTTGCCGAGCATGGTGGCTCATGCTTGTAATCCCAGCACTTGGGAGGCTGAGGCAGGAGGACTGCTGTGAGTTTGAGACCAGCCTGGACTACAAAGTGAGCTCAAAGCCAGCCTGAATTGCATAGAGAAACCCTATCTCAAAAAGACCAAAAAAAAAAAAAACCCTCCTTTCTCAAGCACAAGATCGCAAGTTCAAACCCCACTGCCAAAAAATTTTTCCTTTCCTATCTTCCCTACTCCAGTGGAAAACGTAAATTAGAGTCCTTTGGATTGAGAATCACTAGGTATAAATAAGGATGTGAGAAATATATTCTAAAATGGGGACCAAGTAAAAGTTTACATGCCAAATTTTGAGTTTCTCTTACCTTTTTTCTACCACTTACAAAGGCTTTCAACCAGGATCATACATTCTAGGAAAAACCTTTTTTCCTGTGCTTTTTTCCACCCTGGCACCAGGGATTGAACTCAGGACCTTGTGCTTGCCAGGCAGGCGCTATGCCACTGAGCTATATCTTAGCCCTTTTCCTAAATACTCTTTTCAGAGCGCTTTTTGTAACTCTGACCATCTCCACTGAAGAAACGACCATCACCACTGCACACACACACATGCACCCCAACCCTAAAATATTGACAGTATTGTGGTCAAAATTCCCAAAGAACTATCCTGTCTTAATTGTGGTGGTTACCTGCCAAAACTTCTAGAACTAAACACTGAAGAGGAATGAATTTCCATTGTATCTAAATTATATCTTGATAAATCTGAGTTTTTAAAAAAACTCAAGAGAGAAAATCAAACTATAACACAGAAATGAGACCCTCCAAAATTGTTGGAAATTAAGAATAGGTCAACAATGTAAGTGCCTGCCTGGCGAGCACAAGGTCATGATTTCAATCCCTGGTACCAAAATACAATAAGAAGAAGAAAAAAAAGACTATAACTAAGATTTTTTTAAAAAAGTAAGTTGTAAGAGAAACTTGAGTATATTGCTCAGAATAAAAGGAAAAAAATCAGAAGACTGGCTTAGATGGACCAACATTCATATACAAGGATTTTGAAAATACATAAAAAAAAGGGGGGGATGTTCAAGACAAAATTCAAGAAAATCATACACAGTTGAAGGACACGAATTTCCAGATGAAAGGAATATACTACTGGCCACATAATGGATAAAAACAGATCTACAAGGCATATTATTGTCAAATTTCAGAGCACTAGAAAAAGAGAAGAGACTATATAAATAAAACAGACAATAAATCCTAACATTTAAATCTGGTCTTACACAAATGATAAATATACAGTGCAATCCCTTCAAATTCTCAGTCAACTTGCCAGACATGGTACAACATACTTGTAATCCTAGCACTTGTAGGCTGAGGCAGGAGGATCCCTAATGAGTTCAAGGCCTTGCCAAAACTACAAAAAAACAAAAAAATACAAAAAAAAGTCAACTTAAAATTTTTATCTAGTCAAATTAACAATCAGAAGTAAGGACAGGATAAGAATATAGGCAGAAATTTGAAGTTCAAAAAAATTTCTTCCCAGTATGCCACTAAAAGAAGGGAAAACATAGTCAGGTAAGAACTGGAGCTCCAAAAGGAGAAATGGGTGGCTATAAAGAAAGGGCTCAAAACAAGCTGTGCACCAGTAGACAGCAGCCATTCTACACAGCAGCAGTTCAAAAATGAAACTGATTTATAATGAACACCTGGTGCTCATTAGAGCAGAGACAGAGACAACAGGAGAGAGAAAAATGTGGCACATTTTTCAAGCACTAAAATTTAAAGGGAAAAAAAAAGTTGCTGACCCATAATCCTATGTGCAGCGAAAATAAGTCCTTAGGAATGAAGGGAAAACCAAGACATTCTCAAATAAAAGAAAATTAATATTCTTTGTCACCAGACCTACTCTGAAACAATGGAAAGCAGAAACCCGTTTAGTCCAACAATGACACACAAAAATTATAAACTAAAGTATTTTAGAATATTTGAGACACAAAGAAAATGGTTAAGTGAAAATATAAGTAAATGCAATGGACTTTCATTCTCAAGTTTTCTAAATTATTTTTGATGACTGATGCACAGTTTATGACGACTCGAAAATATATTTATGCGAGGTATGGTGGTACACACCTGTAATTTCAGCGCTCAGGTGGCTGAGACAGGAGAATCACCTGAACTATTTAGTGAGTTCAAGGCCAGGCTGGATTACAGAGAGACCCTACCTCAAAAAAATGAAACCAAAAAAACCCACCCCAAAACAAGAATACATATAGAGGAAGTATTTGCACCAAGTAACACAAGAAATAACACAAAACCAGACACGACTAAAAGAAAAATTAGAGCCAGGCATGGCAGTACATGCCTGTAATCCCAGCACTCAGAAGGCAGAGGCAGAAAGACTGCAGTAAGTTCAAGGCCAGCCTGAATTACAGAGAAAAACCCTGTCTTAAAAAAGAATAAAAATATTCACAATACATGGAGACATAACTATTACTTTCACAAAAACTGACATGACAACCCAAAAGAAATTCAGCAAGGTTAGAGAATGTCATATCATCATATCTATCGGTAAGATTAAATCACTGTTTATAGGAAGAACACTCCCCTCAACAACAGAGTACATATGACTTTGAAATACCACAGAATGTGTAACAAGATAGGGTATATCCTGGGCTATAAAACAAATCATGACATATTTATTTCTGTGGAACACAGATAAAACATTGAGAAAACTGACAACACTAAAATGTATGTATTAGAAAAGAGGGTAATTCTTAACAGGCCAGGCTCTCAGCTCAAGAACCCAGAAAAAAATGTTGCGATTTAAGATTCAAAAGGTCCCCCAAAAGTCTCATACGTTCAGAGGTGGGGCTTTCAAAAGACGATCAAATCATAGGGGTGCTATACTCATCAGCTGATTAATCCACTGATATGTTCACAGCTGAATGAGTTATCAGACAGCGCAACCCAGTTGGAGGTGATGGGGGGGGCCCTTGGGAGGGTGTATCTTACTCAGGCCCTTCTCTCTCTCTCTCTCTCTCTCTCTCTCTCTCTCTCTCTCTCTCTCTCTCTCTCCCCTCTCTCTCTGCTTTCATTTGCTATGATAAGGTAAACATCTCTCTTCTGCTAGGCCCTTTCACTATGCTGCTTCTGCCTTGCAACCAGCATACAAAGAACTGAACCAAGAATACTTCTCCTTTAAATTGTGGATGCCAATTATTTTGTTCCAGTGATAAGAAAGTAACTCATAAAAAAGAAGAGCAAAGTAAATCAAAAGCAGAAGGAAGGAAATGAGAACAGAAATCAAGGAAACTGAAGAACAGCAGAAAAGTATCAACAAAACAAAAAGCCAGTTCATTGAAAGATAAAAAGATTGACCAAGCTCCAGGGAAACTGACCAAGAAAAATGAGAAAATACAAATTCCTGGCATGAGGAATGCACAAGAGATATCACTACAGACCCTGTAGGCACTGAGAAGGTAATACAACTCCTATACAAATCTAAGTTTAGCAAGCTAAAGGAAGTGGGCTAATTGCTCTAAAATCCACCACAAACAACTAAATCCAGATTATTTAAATAGTCCTAAAACTATTGAGGAAGTGGATTTTATTTAATTTTAAATTTTCAATGCTAGAGAATGAATCCAGGGATAGGCATTGCTAGTCCACTAATCCCAAGCCCTGCATTTATACTTTTAAAACCACCTAACAGAAATCTCCAAGCTGACATAATTTCTGTGGAGAATTACATCAAACATTTACTGGGTGGGGTGGCACATGTCTTGTAGTTCCAGCACTTGGGAGGCTGAGGAAGGAGGATAGCTGTGAGTTCAAGGCCTGGCTGAACATGGTGAGATCCTGTCTTCAAAAAAAAGAAAAAAAGGAATGAAGGAAAGAAAGGAGGAGGGAAAAAAAGAAAGGGAGGGAAAGAAAATAGAAGAGCAGGGAAGATTTCCCAGGTTTTCTTATAAAGTTAATATTATCCTGATAAAAAACACATGAAAGAGATAAAACTAGAGAGTATTATCAAAGATATAAATCAGCTGGGCACAGTGGTACACATCCAGAGGCTGAGGCAGGAGGACTGCCACTAATATAAACATCAGCCTGGACTACTGAGTGAAATCCCGACTCAAAAAAAAAAAATTTTTTTTAAAAAAAAAAAAATCAAGAAACTCCTCAAATATTAGCAAATGAAAGTCAATACAAAAAAGGACCAACCATGATCATATACCATGACGAAGTAGGATGTATTCCAAGGATGCAACTGTGATTCTACACACTTGAAAATATGCTATTATTAATAAATAAAAACTACATGATTGTATGGCTTCATGCAAAAAAAATCATTTGACAAAATTAAATACCCATTCAAGCTAAATACTTTAGAAAAATATAAACAGAGAATTTTCTACACTCAATTTTTTTTTTTTTTTTTGTCTTTTTCATTTTTATCAGTACCAGGGATCAAACTCACGACTGCCTGCTTGCAAGGCAGGCACTTATGCCGCTGAGCTAAATCCCCAGCCCCTTCTACACTCAATTTTTAAAAAACTAAGTATGTGTCAGGGTTCAGAGTTCAAGCAGAGGTAACTGTGCAAATACAGCAAAATCTAAAATTCTGGCAGGAACCTCCACCTTCAAGGTCTTGCTGAGTCACAAAGCTGGACTGACATGGGAGTCTCCTGCTTCAACCCACTACAATGCTGGGACTGCAGGTGTACAACGCATCCATTCTCTCTTTGATATGCTACCTGGAATTCTAGTTTAGTCCTTCCAGATAGGGATAGTTAATTGATTGTGTAAAACTTGAGTAAGAAATGTCCAATTAAATTGGGTTCTGGGTATGGCTGAAGGGACTTACTAAGACAAAAGACTCACCCTGGGTGTGAGTAACAGCAACCAATAGGCTTGCTGCCTGAATGGAATAAAAGAGAAACAAAGACGGAAGGCCTGCTTCCATTTCTTTAGAGGACTCCAATTTCACCATCAGCTTGGATGTCTTCTCCTGTCTTCCAGCACACTCTTCAGCCTCCTGTTGCAGACACTTCTGCCTCTTGCCACAGACTCACTAAGGGACACTACACAGGGACCTCCCCAGCTGCAGGTCACTGATGAGTGCTAGGCCTTCGACTGGATCCTTTTGAATCTCCAGTGCAGAGACACAGGTCTTTTGCATTTTCCACATCTCACTCTGTGGGCAACCATTATATAAAAACATAGAAGTTAAGGTGGTTAGAAGTGGACTTGAAAGAAATCAAGGATGCTATCTATGAAGCAGTACCTGCCAAAACCCACTTGGGAGACAGCCCAGGCACAAATCAAGATTAAAGAGAAAGAGTTTTGGTGTTCCCAAAGACCCTACTGAGTCAGAGCAAATTCAACAAACTATAAAGGACAGTATCACATGTGTCCAGAGGACATAGAAGTGTTCAATCAGTTCCAGGTCAAAAGCATTGAATTAGTGAGACAGCATTTCCACAACATCAGTGCCATGACAAAATCTGATTCCTCCAACAATCTCCTACCTAAATTTGGGATCTGCATTGTTGTAACAGGGAGTTCCCCTCACTTTTCCATGGTCGCAGTGTACTGTGAGTACAGTACCCTGAGGAAGTGTTGGACAAGGAAAAGGCCCTCAGACTGTGTTTTTTGTGTGTCTTCCTGGTGTTGGGAGCAGTCAAAGGCTTGTATAGGCTACACCGTTTCAGAATCCTGCACCTTCACAGAACTCAGGAGCCCCAGCTTCCTGGTCACTGGAGGCTATCTCAGAGTGAAGCTTACAGGATTTAAGAGAAACAGACTTTCACCAGTAAGAAAACTAAGGGGAATAAAACAGTCAAATCTACAACATACCTTTCACCTCAGAAGCTGGCAAATTTGCTTTGTGAATAGTACATTATAGCTAGAAATATGCAGCTTTGGAGTCATTCTCTGGGAAACCGCCACTGGGAAGATCACATTTGAAAGCTGTATTTCTAAGAAGCTCTACCAGCTGGGAGGAGTTACTGGGTAAAGACTGCTCTCCCCAGCTGCAGGTCATTGATGAGTGCCGGACCTATGAGCCCTCTGGGAGGCCCTCTGTGGATGAAATCCTAGAGAAACTGTCTTTACTGACAGCTTGAGAAAACCTGAAGCAAGAAGTCCTAGACAAAAAGCCAAGAGAAACACAAAGTGTACATCTCTGACTCAAAATTTCTGATAAATGATCTCTTGTGTCCATATCTCCTGGCAATGTAAGCTTATAGCTCCTTCTGTTGAGCAGTGGAATTTCAGCCAGGCCTGGTGGTTCCTTGGAGTCCCAGCACTGAAGAGTCTGAGGTAAGATCACTATGAGGCCAACCTGGGCTACACAGTGAGTACAAGGCCATTCTGATCTACATGGCAAGACTGTCTCAAAAACAACAGTGAAAGTGAAGTATGTTTCTTACAATCGGAATCTGGACAGGCACTGATTTGGCCAATAAAATGTGACAGAAGTGACACTATGTCAGTTAGTTCCAAGTCTAGACTTCAAGAGCCTTACACTATCCATTTCCTCTCTTGGACCTCTAGATACATGTGGCTAGTGTACTGGAGGACAACGGACCATAGGAAGGAACACACGTCCCAGCCAAGAGCCTGTGAAAACACCCAGCCTTGGCTGTTGATCCAGATGTGAACTCAGTCGATTTGAAAGAGTAAGATATAGACAATATTATTTTAAAATAAAGATAATAAACAAAGGCATATTAGTTTGAAACTGAAGTTAACAACCCTATTACAATTAATATAGTATTCTTTTTTTTTTTTTTTTGTCATTTTCCTTTTTATAGGTATTGGGGATCGAACTCATGACTGCCTGCTTGCAAGGCAGGCACTTATGCCGCTGAGCTAAATCCCCAGCCCCTAATATAGTATTCTTTAAAATGGCAGTATTATCCAGTTTTGAATTCTACATATTTAAAAAGATACAAAATACAAAGCCTACTAAATATTACATATTTGTTGGGTGAACTAATAAAAAATCCATTCCATACTATGCATAAACAATTATTAGTTGAGATACATTTTACCGTTTTTAGGTATAAACTACTAGACTACTCGAATCCTTTATCCATAGATCAATTCTGCTTATTTTACACAGACATACACACACTTATATGATTTGGATATATCTACCAAAGGTTCATGTGCTGGAAGCTTGGTCTTTTGTGCAGCATTGTTGAGGGGGTGGAAATCCTTGTATAAGGTAATTAGGCCATGGGGACACTATCCTCAAAAGGGATTAATGTTGACCTCATACAGTGAGTTACTTCTCATGAGAATGAGTTGCTAGAAAAAGAGGAAATCTGGTCCTTAAATTCCTCTGGTTTTGTCATGCCATGTGACTCTTGTACATTTGCTTCAGCCACTGTGAAGCTACCTGTCACTGTGAAACCGCTACAAGACCCTCATCAGAGGCTGAACCAAAGGGGCCACCCAATCTTGGACTTTCATCTTCTAGAACTGTGAGTTAAATAGATCTCCTTTTTTTATAATTACTAGCCTCAAATATTTTATTATATTATAGCAGAGAAAATGAATGGATACATACATGCATGTGCACGTGTACATAAATACTATACATTTTTTGTTTTGTTTTGGAGACAAGTTCTTGTTACACAGATTAGGATGGCCTTGAACTCATGATCCTCCTTCATTCATCTGTGATGTGCTACAGGCTGGTACCATGCCCAACTTTTAAGTCTACCGAACATATTTCCCTCTAAAAGATAATATTTAATTACTTACTGATAAGTCTGTTTGCCTTTCATATAGGAAAAACTTTCTTCACGGCTATATCAATTTTCTAAAGAATGTAACTTTTTAAAGTTTTTTAATTTTTAAAGAGAATAAAACCGAGCAAAACCAAACAGAGCAAAGCCAATCAAAACAAAACAGTGTAAGTGACACAGGACTTCAAACCAATATGAAATCAACAATGGTTACCATAATGCCTCCTGCTGTCTTCAAAATAGCTATGGATACCATCAGACATAGTAAAAAATCAGACAAAACAGAACAGAATACAACCAATAAAAACAAAACAATGACTGCAATACAGGCCTTCAGAGTAAAATAACAGCAAATCCAAAATGGCTACCATAATATATCTTGTTATCTTTGAAATACCTGTGCATGCCATCGGATACAATAAAATCAAATGAAACAAAACAGAACAAAACCCAACCCAACTAAACAAAAAAATGATACAGAACTTCAAAGCAAGATAAAAGGGAATCAACAGTGGCCACCACCCTCAGGAGATCCCCCAATAGGTGCTAAATTGTCTATTGCCAATCTCTGAATAGATGATCAGACCCACTGGCTTTTGACCTACAAAGTCAGTGAAACACTAAACACTGCAAGCCTTAAATTGTATGGCACCTCAATAGCCACCATCACAGCCAGTGTTTCTCTAGATCAGCTGGTGGCTTATGGCAGAGGGTGTGTGTGTGTGTGTGTATGTGTGTGTGTGTGTCTGTGTTTTGGCTCTTCTCCTTTCTCAGCCTGCACACCAGAAGGGGCTGACATCTGGCTGTCCCCACAATGGCCTGTGCAAGGTGCTGATTCTCAAGGAGGGCTTGCTTCTTGTTGACTTCGTGTTCTCTTCCCCTGCAGTCTGTGAATGGCACTGACTGGCAAGAAAAGGCTGGCATCTGACTATCCCTTCAGCAGCCTGCACATGGCCCCAGTTTGCAGGACAACAATGTGACTTTTTATGAATGACATCATTATCATTAATTATTAGAAAAATCCAAGTCAAAACCAAATAAAAGGGGCTGAGGATATAGCTCCATGGTACAGCACCTGCCTGGCAAGCTCAAGGTCATGAGTTCGAGCCCCAGTACCAAAAAAACCAAAATAAAATAAAATTAAAAACCATATAAAATACTACTTCACAACGAGAATGGCTATACTGTAAAAGACAGACAAAAGTGTTGAGAATGATGCAGAGAAATTAGAACACTCATATATTGCTATGGAGGTGTAAAATGGTACAGCTAACTCTGGAAAAGTTTGGCAGTTTTTAAAAATGTTGAATATAGGGGCTGGGGATTTAGCTCAGGGGCATAAGCACCTGCCTTGCAAGCAGGCAGTCGTGAGTTCGATCCCTGGTACCAATAAAAAGGAAAATGACCAAAAAATGTTGAATATAAATTTGTCATATTACTAGCAATTCCATTTCTATATATTTATGCAAAAGAAAAGAAAACATGTTCATACAAAGACTTGCACGCAAGTTTTCACAACACCATTCAGAACAATGAAAAAAGTATAAATACCCTACATGTCCATCAACTGGTGAACAGATAAAATGAGATATACAGTAAGGAACACTCACTACACAATAACAGAAATAACTAAGTACTGATAAATCTAGAAGATGTATTAAAATCATGGTAAGTCAAAGATGCCAGACACAAAAGACTATACATTATCACATGATTCCACTGATACGAAATGTTATAAAGGTGAAATTTATAGACAGTAGATTAGTGTTTGCCACAGATTGGGGTGAGAATAAGTGCCTGTTTATACAGTGTTTTCTTGTGGGGTGGAGAAAATGTTCTAAAATTATACTGAAGATGATTATACAAGTCTATATATTCACATAGTCCATAAATTGTGAATTTTCTTTTTTTTTGAGACAAGGTCTCACTATGCAGTTCAGGCTGGCCTTGAGCTCAGTTTGTAGCCCAGACTAGCCTCAAAACTCACAACGATCCTCCTACCTCAGCCTCCTAAGTGCTAGGATTACAGGCATTTACCATCATGCCCAGCATAAATTATAAATTTTATGGCATGTATACTGTGCTTCAACAATGTTTTTAAAAAGGAAGTTATCAAAATTGTAATGATAAAACTCTGCTGTACTACAAGTTCTATTTTATTCTTATACATAAGAATTTGGTAGTATCTGTCTTGGGCAATAATAAAGAATTATTCTTTCCCCCCAAGAGCACTTAACAGTGTTACTGAAACTAAAGCTCTTAATTAAGGAAACCATAGCTTTTCTAATAGCATAAAAAAAAATGAAATTTTAGGAATCAATCTAAGGAAGGAAGTAAAAGACCTTCATATTGAAAACAACAGTACTCTAAAAAAGGATATCATAGTGAACATCAGAAAATAGAAAGATATCCTTTGTTCTTGGTAAGCAGAACCAAA